AAGGCGATCATGCCATATTTGAAAATCGGTAATCTTTTGATCTACCGTGAGGTGTGTTTCAAAAACACATAATCAGACATAATATAAACCAGTAGAGAGTGAGGGTAATCTCTCAATGATGCATTTCTTTTTATCAATAATATTGGTGATCAATAAAAATTCACCATCGGTATCACTCATTGTTTCAATGTGATAACTGATAGCATCCATTGGACGTTATCTTTTAGTCGTCATCTACATTGAAAAATATGTCTATTTACACTTAATTTCTTTTATTAGCATTTTTTTTAATTTAAGTTTAATATCATAGCTCGTAGAATATTTAGTTTCTTATGCATATATTTGACCATGGATGTCTTTTATATTAAAACCTTCGCTATGTCTCGATTTATGTATAGAAAATTTATGGGGTTTGGGGCATGTGTTTCAAATTGAAAAAAATAACAAAGACGGAGATAACGTGATGGGAGTGTAAGAGTTAAAGAAGATAAGCAAGGTGCAGTCAGGCAGGACATAATAATAATAATAATAATAATAATAATAATAATAATAATAATAATAATAATAATAATAATAATAATAATAATAATAATAATAATAATTAGGGATTTGGTGTGGATAGTCTCTACGCACAGTCTTGGTGAAGAAGTTGGAAAATTAAAGACGGTATTCTCCAGAGAAACGTTGTGCGAACGAAAAAAGAAAAGGGGATCGATTTGATGAAAAAAAAAAAAAAAAAAAAATCAAAATTGGAATTGAGAGAATCTCTCGTGTGGGTGCACGGAGTACTTCTCTTCATCCTTGTACATAGTGTTTTTTTTCTTTTCTTGCCCTAGATTAAGAAGTTCTGTTCGAAGATTGCTACATTAGTTTTAGTTTAGGAATTTAAGTTTGGCGACCGGATTGAATCTATATATATATATTTCATCCTGCAATCAAAGACGGGAGTTGGATTAGATCTTGAAGTATGAAATTGTTATTCACATCTAGAAAGTAGCGATATTAATTTATGAAAGATTAATATTTATTTTGTTCTTGAATTAAAATTTAAATTTCTACATACATTTAATTGATGTGTTGATTGTTGATTGACTTGAATTGCTTTCATGTCGGGAGATGGAAATGAATAAAATATGTTGAATCTGAAGTTTCATAATGATATTAAAATTTGTTGAATCTGAATCATTAAATCGTATATTTCATTATAATCTAGCAGGTTATGTAACCTTTAATCAATAAAATTTAGTTGCGTATATTAAATTTCTGTAATTTAGGAATTAAAATTGTCAAATCGACATTTATTCATTTTAACTCAATTGAATTAATCTTTAAATGCACAAAAATTTCCAGAATGTGAATAAATATATTTAGTTCCCTGTGGATTCGACTCGGTATACTTACCGATTTATTACTTGATTTGATATCGTACACTTGCGATAAACTACAAAAAAAATATTCAAGTATCAAGTTTTTGGTGCCGTTGCCAGGGAATTAAAGGAAATTCTGTGTTTGAAGTTTATTGAAATTGAGTATTGTATATATTGTTGTATAGTTGTGCATGTATATATATATATATTAGATTCTTTAATTGTTTATTTATTATTCTTGTAGTGCGAAGTGCTCAAGGGAGTGAATTGTTCTTTGATCCAGAAATAGAACGAACTTGTAGGAAAAATCGGCTCAGTAAGCGTAAAAGACCACCTCAGGTTGAGGTGTATGTAAATTATCATCTGACGACGAAGAAGACAAAGCAGTGAATTTGAGTCATTGTCAAGAAGTAATTCTGAATATCCATTTCACTCAGACCAAAATCTGGACAATATGAATGGTCATGAAAGAAATACTCAAGAGAATGGATCAGTTGCACTCAAAAGGACAATTGAGGATCATTTACAAGGAAGAAACAACACAAGGTTGAATCGAACTTCGAGGCCTACTGTTAGTGCTGATCAGTTTCAGATTCAGCCCGCCCTCGTCACTATGGTGCAGTCCAACCAATACAATGGATCTACGTCGAATGATCCTGTTGATCATATCACAACATTTCTTGATTTATGCGACACGGTGAAACTTAATGGAGTTTCAGAAGATGCTGTTAAGCTTCGTTTATTCCCTTTTTCTTTGAGAGATAAAGTAAAGGCATGGTATAACACCTTGGCGCTTTGTGAGATTAGTACTTGGGAGGAAATGCTGCGTGTATTCTTGGACATATTTTTCCCACCAGCGAAAGTATTAGAATTGCAAAATCGAATTAAAGAATTTATCCAAGAGGAGGATGAGAGCTTACAAGATGCATGGGATAGGTATAATTCATTGTTATCTTGTTTTCCTAATCATGGTTTTGTTGATTGGCAGCAGGTCAACTTGTTTTACAATGGACTAACCGAGCAATGGAGAAATTTACTTGATGTTGTCGTTGGTGACTTGTTCCTATCGGTTGGGCCTACTCGAGCCAAGGAAATCATCGAGAAGAAGATAGAAAACATGAAGAAATTTCCTGGAAAAAAAGGCTGCTCATGGAAAGGTTAGGGGGTTGTATGAAGTCGATAAAGAACACTACAAGAAAACATCATTTTTGTAACAAAATATTTGTGTCTCTAAATCTACTTTTTCCGTTACTAATGACATTAGAGACATAATTAGGAATGGAATTGCGTTAGCTACGTGAACTTTAGGGACGGAATTCCGTTACAAATATATTATTTTTTTGTAGTGGAAGTAGCAGCGGAGTCTAAGCTTGATGCATTGATGAGGGAAGTAAATTTGTTGAAAAAATGACAAGTTGTTCCGTCTCGTTGCGAATTGTGCCATGGCTGCCATGAGACAGCAAATTGTCACTTATTGGAAGGAAATATCCAAGAGACAATGCAACGTGAAAGGACCGAGCAACAAATCGGGGATATAAATTCTATCAAAAATCAGCCGAAGAATTTTGGCGGTGCTTCATCTTCATACTACCAGCCTCAACCACAACACTTTCAACCAAATTCATACTACCAAAATAACCAACAATACCAAACTCATCACCAACCGCAATATAACCAAAACCGTAACCAAACCACTTACCAACAGCCGCAACAAATACCAAATCGACCATATCACCCTCAACATCAGCACAACGGAAGAGGACAGGATGACTTGAGCTTGAAGGACTTAGTTTTGGCACAACAACAGACCATTCACCAATTGCAAACTTCGATGCAAAATCTGGAGGTGCAAGTAGGGCAGATTGCTCGTGACACTTCGAAGAGGCATCAAGGGACATTGCCAAGTATGCCTGACCCAAATCCAAAAGAGCATTGTAAAGCATTAATGCTAAGGAGTAAGAAAGCAATTACCTGATCCTTATCCGAATTTGAAAGAATTTAGAGATTTTGTCAAGGAATCTACGAATGAGGAAGAAAAAAGGGCTTCTCGCGAAGGTGAGATGGCTGAAAAGTTAATGAATGATAAAAATGATGGACTGCATTTACAAAAGATCAGAGAAAAAGGCATGAGAAAATTGGAGGAAAAATCAATAGAGGAAAAAGGATAGGCAATCAAGGCCTATCAACCACCTGTTCCATATCCGAGCCGTCTCAGAACAACACAAGAGGATAAGAATTTCTCTAAATTGTTTGAAATTTTTAAGAAGTTGTGCATTGATATACCTTTTATGATGCTATTGCGCAGATGCCTGTATATGACAAATTTTTTAAGGAAATTTTTTCAAAGAAGAGGTCGATCGATGATGATGAACGAGTGGAACTAACAGGGGAGTGCGGCACCGTTTTACAAAGAAAATTACCCATCAAGCAAAAAGATCTAGGGAGCTACACAATTCCTTGTGTTATTGGCACCCATGAATTTAGTCATGCTATATGTGATTCAGGTTCAAGCATAAACTTAATGACATATTCAATTTTCAGGGAACTAGGAGTTGGAGTGGTGAAGCCAACACGAATGCAACTCCAATTAGCGGACCGCTCCATACGAACACCATTGGGAATTGTTGAAGATGTTCCTATCCAAGTTGAAAATTTCATCTTCCTAGTGGATTTTTTCGTATTAGATATGAAAGAAGATTCAGACATGCCTCTTATTTTAGGAAGACGATTCTTACAAACTGGGCATGCAATGGTGGATATAGATGATGGGAAAATCACTTTAAAGGTTGGTGAGGAGCAAGTTTCTTTTGATGTGGCCAAGGCAATTCAAATGCACGAAGGATGCGATGATGCTTACGCTTGCAACCAAATCATAGCTGTATATCTAGAAAAACAGGTAATCTCACAAGAATTTTATGTTTTACATGATTCTTCCTTTCATTTAAAAGTTGCCCAAGAAGATTCTATGGAATTTAATTCAAAGGAAAATCTAAACTTCAGAAATAAGGACATATTTGGATTAATTCCACTTCAACATAGGGGTATTCCTAAGCTGGTCCCATCAGTTGAAAACCACCCTGATCTTCAATTGAAACAACTTCCTATACATCTTAAATATTCATTTCTTGGTGAAAATAATACTTTGCCCGTAATTGTGAATGCTGCTTTAAATGAACATGAATTAAGTGCACTAATGTCTGTTTTGAGAAAGCATGTGAAGGCCATAGGTTGGACAATCTCCGACTTAAAAGGATTGAGTCCTTCACTCTGCACTCATCGTATTTACATGGAAGACGACTACAAGCCCATTCGGAAGCTAAAAAGAAGATTAAATCCTCACTTGCAAGAGGTTGTAAAACCGGAAGTCATTAAACTACTCGATGCAAGTATATAGGCGCATACGGTGCATTTGCATATAGGCGCATGCCTTTTGGGTTGTGCAATGCACCAACTACTTTTCAGCGTTACATGATATCAATATTTTCAAACCTTATTGAGTCATGTATTGAGGTATTTATGGATGATTTTTCTGTTTTTGGATCTGATTCTTAGAATTGTTTAGAAAATTTAGACAAAGTACTACTACGTTGTGAAGAATCAAATATTGTCCTCAATTGGGAAAAATGTCACTTTATGGTGACTGAAGGGATTGTGCTTGGCCATAAAATTTCCAAAGAGGGCATGCTGGTAGACCAAGCCAAGGTTGAGGTGATCGAGAAGCTACCACCACCGAAGGATGTTAGAGCTTGCGGAGTTTCCTTGGACACGCTGGCTTCTATAGCGGATTTTTCTAAAATGGCTCTTCCTTTGTTTAAATTACTTTATAAAGATGTTGTGTTTAATTTTTCAGATCAATGTATGCAAGCGTTCAATAAGCTGAAAGAGGCTTTGATTACAGCTCTTGTAATGCAGCCCCGGATTGGAGTTTACCATTTGAAATTATGTGCAATGCAAGTGGCTCAGCTGTTGAAGCAGTGCTTGGGCAGCGGAAGGACAAGAGACTGCATGTTATTTATTATGCCAGTCAAGTACTTAATCAAGCCCAGAAAAATCACACGGTCACTGAAAAGGAACTCATTTCGATTGTTTTTGCATGTGAAAAATTTTGACCTTATTGAATTGGTTCGAAAACAATAATTTTCACTGACCATGGTGTTGTGAGGTATTTTTTTTCAAAGAAAGATGCGAAACCACGTTTAATTCGTTGGGTGTTATTATTACAGGAGTTCAACTTGGAGATTAGGAACCGGAAAGGTGTCGATAACCCCGTAGCAGACCATCTTTCAAGATTGACAGCAGCCAGTGATGATGGATCAAAAATTTCAGATTTTTTTCAGGATGAAAGGTTGTATCCTATAGAATATTTGAAACCGGACCCATGGTACGATGATTTAGTTAATTACTTAACATGTGACATAATGCCTACACATTTGAAATGAAATAGCCAAAAGAGAAAATTCAAACATGATGCTAAGTACTATATTTGGGATGAACTGTTTCTTTTTAGAATATGTGCAGACCAAGTAATTAGGCGATGCATCCCGGATCATGAGATTTTGAAGGTGCTACAAGCATGCCATGAAGGACTTGGAGGAGGCCAAGTGGGGCCGAACCGAACAACTCATAAGATACTTGAGTGTGGATTTTATTGGCCTTTGATTTATAAAAATGCTCGTAACTTTGTGTAAAAGTGTGATGTTTGCCAACGTACAGGAAATATTTCTTGTAGAGATGAGATGCCCCTAAAAGGCATACTTAAGCTTGGATTATTCGATCTTTGGGGCATCGATTTCATGGGACCTTTTCCACCATCAAATGGCAAGAAATATATTTTGGTTTCTGTTGAGTATTTATCAAAATGGGTTGAGGCAAATTCATGTTCTGCCAATGTTTCAAAACAAGTAATAAAATTCTTGAAAAATAATATTTTTACTCGTTTTGGAGTGCCCCGAGCCACTATTACTGATGGTGGTTCCCATTTATGTAATCGATCACTTAACTAGTTGCTGGCAAGATTTAATGTGCATCACAGGGCAGGACACCTTATCATCCACAAGCCAACGGTCAAGTCGAGGTATCAAATAGAGAATTGAAAAAGATTCTTGAAACCATTGTTGATAAGTCTAGGAAAGAGTGGGCTGTAAAATTGGATGAAGCTTTGTGGGCTTATCGGAAAGCCTTTAAAACTCCTATCGGTATGTCTCCTTTTAAATTAGTTTATTGTAAGGCATGTCATTTACCTCTCGAGCTTGAGCATAAATCTTTCTGGGCACTAAAAAAGTTAAATTTTGATTTTAAAGATGCTCAAGAAAAGAGAAGATTGGATTTGAATGAGCTAGATGAGATTCACCTTAGTGCTTATGAAAATGCAAAAATTTATAAGGAGAGAACTAAAAAATATCATGATGAATTGATTAAACCAAGGAGTTTTGAACCTGGACAGAATGTATTATTATTTAATTCTCGTTTCAAGATTTTTCCAGGGAAATTAAAAACCAAGTGGTCGGGGTCATTTAAAGTATCGCAGGTACTTGAATCAGGAGTAATTGTCCTCCAAGCTGATGATGGAAGGGAGTTTACAGTAAATGGACAGAGAGTTAAGCACTATTTTGGTGATGAAGTTCAAATGATCAACCTAATATCGATGAGACCACCCATCGATTGATCAATTTGATTTAATCAGATTGCTAAATATCTCATTTCACGTTGTTTTTGTTGTAAATATTGTACATGTTGTAAATTTATTTATTAAATTATTATTATTATTATTATTTTGTAGGTTTATGTGTTGTTAGCAAGTGCATGCAAAGTAGAAGTCTTCATACACCATTGGCAATGGTCGGCTGGAAAACTATGGTCAGATTCACTATGCACCAATAATTGTTCAATTTTTGACTTGTAACAAGGCGCTAGCAATGTATCAGGTGACATCTATTCATGGTCTATTTCTTAAGTTCTGGTAAGGATGTTGTTAATTTATTTATGTTAGGCATGTACATTTAGTAAAGGTTTAGGAAGGTTTATAGGAATGCATGCTTAGATTAGTTGATAATAAGAATTTCACTATAAGTTGTAGTGTTGTTTTCTACTGTGGTGTAGTTTGGGGATTATTTGGGTCAAAATGGCATACATCTTGGTGTAGATTACGGCTAAAACCTCTCATTCAACGTTGTTGAAAAATAACTTTTCCAAGATTCAACACTTTGTACCATTACTTAATAAATTAAAATTTCAGCCTTCACAATGAGTAATGTTTTATGTTGCTAACATGACTAAAATGATGGAATATTACTTTTAAACAAGATCATGCTTGAGTTTCTGCATAGGAAGTTGTATATAATTTTAGTTAGAAGTTGCATCGGGATTGTAATCTACGTGAATTATTTCTAGAGTGGAATATCATAAAGGTATGCAAAAAAAGAAAAAAAAATCCTTAACTATTGAGTGGTTATCATAAAGCCAAAAAAAATGATTAAATTTGGGTATGATGATTGGCACGTTGTTCCACTGACACAAGTAGCTTTTTGGAATTCAACCATCGTGACTCTGTGAAAGTGTCATGAACAAAAAGGTTGAAGCCTCGTCCATGATAAGGATAGTGGGGTTCCCTTTAGTCATTTATGTTGCATAAACCACTTCTATTTTGTGAAGACATTTATTCTTCTCTTAATAGATATGAAATTTGAGTGTTGGGTCTATGTTTATTTTTGTTGCTCAAGGGACGAGCAACTTTTAAGAATGAGGATGTTTGATAACATCCATTGGACGCTATCTTTTAGTCGTCATCTACATTGAAAAATATGTCTATTTAGACTTAATTTCTTTTATTTTACGTAAATATGTTATATTTTTAGCATGTTTTTTAAATTTAAGTTTAATATCATAGCTTGTAGAATATTTAGTTAATTATGCATATATTTGACCATGGATGTCTTTTATATTAAAACCAACGCTATGTCTCGATTTTTGTTTAGAAAATTTATGAGGTTTGGGGCATATGTTTCAGGTTGAAAAAAATAACAAAGATGGAGATAACATGATGGGAGTGTAAGAGTTAAAGAAGATAAGCAATGTGCAGGCAGGCAGGACATAATAATAATAATAATAATAATAATAATAATAATAATAATAATAATAATAATAATAATAATAATAATAATTAGGGATTCAGTGTGGATAGTCTCTGCGCACAGTCTTGGTGAGAAGTTGGAAAATTAAAGACACGATTCTTCAGAGAAACGTTGTGCAAAGGGAAAAAGAAGCGGATCGATTTGATGAAAAAAAAAGAGAAGAAAAAAAATCAAAATTGGAATTGAGAGAATCTCTAGTGTGGGCGCACGCAGTACTTCTCTTTATCCTTGTACATAGTGTTTTTTTCTTTTCTTGCCCTAAATTAAGAAGTTCTGTTCGAAGATTGCTACATTAGTTTTAGTTTAGGAATTTAAGTTTGGCGACCGGATTGAATCTATATACATATTTATATATACATATATATTTCATCCTGTAATCGAAGATGGGAGTTGGATTGGATTTTGAAGTATGAAATTATTATTCATATCCAAGAAGTAGCGATATTAATTTATGAAAGATTAATATTTATTTTGTTCTTGAATTAAAATTTAAATTTCTGCATACTTTTAATTGATGTGTTGATTATATTGTTGGGAAACACAACATATTTAAGGATATGAGTACCAGATTTAGGAACGTATTCGATTTTATATGCAAATATTAATAATGGAAATTTGTCGGGAGACTATTTCCATTCGTTATTCTTAATAGTGTTTCTCATGATCTTGGGAAAGATAGAGAACGCAATTAAGAAATTATATTCATGAACGTTGACTCTCACGACCGCGACCATGTCCTCGGCCTCGTTCAGAAAATGTCACGTTCGCTTCAGGGAACGGACTAGAACCAGTGGGTCGGGACTGATGATTTTTCATCAGTAACTCATTATTTTGCTCAGCTAATAAAAGACATGCAATGAGCTTGGAGTACTTTTGAAAGTTTTTCTCACGATACTGTTGTTACAACAAAATATTAGAAGCATGAAAGGTAGAGAGAGCCTTTTCCAATTTATCATTCTCAGTAACATTTTCTTTGCGGAGTTTTAACTGAGATGTAATCTAATGGATAGTAGAGTTACACTCTGTAATAGTTTTAAAATTCTGCAACCGCGGGTTAAGCCAATCATGTTAGGCTTTGGGGGGAGTGATATATTTCAAGTGTCCAAATCTCTCCCTCATTTCATTCCACAAATCTAGTGGATCTTTCACCGTTTAATATTCGGACTGTAAAAAAATGTCAAAATGATGACGAATGAAAATAATAGCCTTAGCCCGATCTTGGCTTATAGCCGCATTTTTACTAGCAATTGTATGAACAAGGCCCATAGAAACCAAATGCATTTCTACATCCAGGGACAAAGTCAGAAAATCATTTCCGATGAAAGACAAAGATTTAAAAGAAAATTTTGCAAGACTTTCCATAGTTTAAAAAATAGATAATATAAATAATATAAAAAATAAAACTTACCAAAAATAAAAATAGGTAAAAGCCTTCGTACTGATAACGTGTTATATAATAATAATAATAATAATATAGTAATGTAATGGTAAGTATATAGATATATGTATACGGCTTTGAAGGATATTAAATATATATATATGTATATATTTATATATATGATGTGAAAAATATGATGTGTATGTGTGTTGTAAATATATAGTAGGGTTATTATTATTATATACATAAGTGAGTAGATGTAAAGATGATAGAAGTAATAAACTTCTTTGATACAAAACCAAACAGAGAAGGAATTTGAATGTTATTCGTGTCCAATTCATTTCACAATTCACTCATATATACAGGCACATAAAATTCCACATTGATTGAATAGAAAAGTATCCACGTATCTCCTATTTCACATGAATGTGTATTCTACGTGTCTACTTCGTAATACAAAATAGTATTGTTTTTCAAAAAAAAAAAAGAAAAAGAAATGTAAGTATTTTTAGGCGATAGATAAAAACTGAAAGTGAGTACAAATTTATTGATAGGTGAAATATTATTTTTTATTTGAGGCATACCAATCAAACCCTTACAAAATATGTGGGTAAATATCGAACGGGCATCTTCCTGATCTCATAATTCATGACTATCCTAAAGATATTAAAGTCGTCGGATAGGAAGAATAATCAATGGATGAGATTGCAAGTATGGGTGGATATGTAATTTGGTTTATATAATAAATAAAGTAATTACTTATTTGGGCATAAGTTAAGGAGATGCAAATATAGATATAAATTTTATCTTTTCTCATCGCAAATAATTTAGATCAATTCTCCGCCAAAAAAAAAAAAGAATTTCACACTCTCCGCCGACATCGATCGAAGAAAAAATATAACGAAGAACTTGGAGCATGGAACAAGATGAAACAAAATAAATTCCATTCTATTGAGTTCTAGTACATCGTGGATGAAGATAACGTTGAAGAAAGTCCAAAACGCGGTACGTATTTTTCTTTTTCATCTGTGCAAAGTAACGTATTGTCGGATTTATATGACATCATATCTTCACCTCCTGAACGTAATTTTGTACAGACAAATGCATCATGATCATATTACTAATACAATATATCAGTAGTCACATTTCAAGATTAATTGAATCAACACCCGAAACATTTGAGTAATGGAGACATCTAATAATATATTTTGATGCTTTAAATGTATCTCAATTAGTGAACCCAATAGATGTGTCATTGATATGTAGGTGCAGAAGAAATAAAAAAATAAAAGTCGTCTGCATTATTTCTTTAGGACGATTTTAAATTTTATTGTTTTCGAAAAATTACTAAATATTGCGTAAAAAATAATAAGTTTTGTAATTTAATTTAATCGATTATTTTGGAAAATCATATTTGAAATTAGTTATATAAGGCAATGAGCATCATACCTTATCCGATTTTAGAATTCTTGACTTATATTGAATCCAATTTGCTCTTAAAACTAAGATCAACGTCCAAAAATCATGGAGAATTGAAACGAGCTCCGAATCAAATCATATCCACTTTTTTCTATTATTTTAATGCCTAAAAAGTGCATAGAATAATTATCCCATATTAAGTAGGGTAAAAAAAAGAAAGTAAATAGTTTAATTACAAAATGTTTGTGCTTGAGTGATAGCATAATATATTTTGTAAAGCATAATATAGTATTGTACACATCATATTTTATAATGTCGTATATCATTTGTTTCTTCAGGTGATGTTTATTGGATCAATGCATCCTTTTTGACCTCCGACGATGCGTACAAATCAGATTGTAGATATATGCATAGACGAAGTTTTTCCGTGCGTATACAGATGCAAAAAAAGGAAAAAAAATAATAATCTCCATCATGTATAAGATATTCACTATTTTTGCAATAATGCCTATCTATTGTAGGTAGTTCGGGACTACATAGATACTCAATAATAAATTCAACATTCATCATTTTGGGACTGCAATGTGCACCTAACTAGTATAATAACGGCATAGCCATAAACAATGTCATGTGAACGATCAAATTTGTAAGATCGGCACAGATCAACATAATACCAACATAGACATTGCCCCTACATTAACAACCTACGTAGATATAATACTCTAACTGTCACATATG